TGTCAGCAGATATAGCATATGAAGTGAAGCTGAGAAAAATGGATAAGACACTAGAAGCTATGACAAAAAGCTTACGGGCAAGGAGAAATGTCACAACTGTTGGTCAATGAGATTGCCTTTATTTTATAGGTTGTAACTTTGCGCATCTCATTGACGATGTCAGTGAAAAGTCCTGGAACATATAAAGTCAACTTTCCTATGCTATAATTCATGATGAATAGTGTCAGGACTTACGGAACTAGATCAGTTCTATAAGGTTTTTCTATCGTTCCGACCCAGTTGTGAAAACGCAGTCAAAGCAAAATAATTCTGTGTAAAGCATAAATTAATTTGGAAATAAAATAGCGCATTAAAAGCAAGGCCTAGTCTAGAATGAAAGCCGCTGAATAATAAATCCTGAAATCTGTCGTGATTTAAGAGACAAAATAGGTTTAAATGCGTTCCAAAATGATTTTAAAAGAAATGTAATATCGTAAATTACTGTCAGATTGTCTATATTCGATGTTTGGTTGTTGCGGCCAAAATCCACCCGAACTAGCCTGATAAGGAGGAGGTGCAGGTACACTAGGCTGTTGCGGCACAACTGATGAACCAGAAGTCATTGCGGGAGATGAAGCTAGTTGACTAGAATCCTGCAGTTGCGGTGGACCTGGAGGCATCCCATAAGGACGTTGCTGCTGCGGATGGTGATAACTATGAAGAGGCACCGGAGGATAGCGGGGTCCACCAGAGTAATGTGGCGGTGGGTATCCACTTTCCTGATGATGCCAAATATTTGACTGACCTCCCGGAGGGCCCATCATATGGGGTGGTTGCTGTTGGGTGGCTTGATGATGGTACATCCCAGGAGGCTGGTTGCCTGTCTGCAAGGCTTGCTGTGACGGTATAGATGGGGGCGGATAGTTACCAGCACCCTGAACAGCATAGGCTGGAGATCCCGGTGGCCGCATATGTGGCGGCGGATATGAGCCAGATGGTATAGGATGCATTTGGGACTGAGGGTGCTGGCTATGATGCTGTGGAGTATGGGGATGAGGCGGTGGGTGGCCTATATGATGTTGCTGCATCCCAATATGATAGTATCCCGGAAGCTGTTGGACGTGAGGGTGTGCATGATAGCCAGGTGGCGGAGGGGGCTGATTGGCATCAACAAGCATACCAGGGTGATGCTGAACTGGATACTCAGATGGAAGGAAAGATGTTGGGGGGCGAGAGGGCTGAGGCAACATAGCAGGATCCCCGCTAGTTTGTGTCGAGAGACTTCCACTGCTTGATTGATCCTCGTTGATGGGAGCATTGGAGCTAGCAGAAGCAGATAAAGCGGCTTTCTTTTCCTTTGATGTCTGCTTTTTCTTCTTACTAGTAACAGCACTGGACGAAGTGGAAGATGTCGATGAAGTAGAAGAGGCTGAAGAGGTTTTCTTTGTTGTGACAAGGGGTACCTGAGAGACTGAACTTGGCGGGGGTTCCTTAGGAAAGCTTGATGAAGGCTTAGCTGAAATGATTTGCTGGCTTTGCTGAGGTACGGGAGGAATGATATTGGGTGCGAAGTGACTGGAGATCTGCTGCTGTGTTTGTGGTGGATACTGGGGCGGAGGAGGATAGTGGTGCTGAGTGTGGCTTTGATGCTGAGGAATGTAACCCCCATGCTGTGAATACTGCTGCATGACTTGGGTTTGATTTCCTGGTTGCTGGCCTTGAGGAATGGGAGGTGGATACATTTGACAAGGCTGTACACCAGGTGGGTGTCCATGAGGCACGGATCTTGGAGGTCCAGGTGGTGGGGCATATCCGGATGGAAGATGGCCAGGGGCAACAGGAATAATGTTGTGGGGAATTTGCGGTTGAACAGTATGAGGATGTATTGTACCTGTATTGCTAGGCGGGTTTGACGGCAGTCCAGGCTGTTGCATTGGTCTAGAATGAATCTCATGTGAGCCTTCGTGAACAGGCTGGATAGCCTAATAAAAATAGTTAGAGTTTACCAATTACCCAATTAACGATTAATAAAGGATAAAAGATTAACAACCTACTTCGCCATTCTCGGGACAAGGCCGCTGATTCTCTTCTTCTTTAAGCGCCTGATGTTGAGCATGAGGTGGATGAAGTTGCTGCTGTGCTCGTTGTTGCTGTAGAGCATGTTGCTGTCTCCTCCTTTCAACTTCAGCCATGATTTCCGCCTCTCTTTGTTGCCGCTGTTGGGCCCTTTTGTGTCGGGCTTCTATTTCAGCTAACTGGCGCTCGCGTCTCTCTTCCTCTTCTCGATGCATATCACATTTCGCTCTTATTATCATCTCTCCGAATTGTGCCTCAGTAATTATGGGACAAAAGGAAACCAATTTTTCGTAATCGATTATATACTTTTCAGACTCCTCTTTCATCCTGCGGATTTTGCTTTGATGTCTGGCCTCACAGTTATCAATCTCTTGTGATAAATTCCTTTTGTGATTCTTCAATTGTTCCACTTGCATTCGTAACGTATTCAGGCGAGTCTCTGTGATAAATTGACCGGGATCAGGGAGGCGACTATCACTAAGTATTTCCAACATAAGACGATGATTGCGCTGAAATCGGGCAGCAGCAACATGCTTTGCAGTGAATTGATCCTCAGGATCTAAAAACAAAGCCATGTTAGCTGGTTAAGTGTTTTTAGTGCATAGAGATATAATAAAAATCTCAATGACCTTCTTCATTATCCTCCAAAATGTACGATTCCCTTAGGTCGTTCTGTTGTCCGTCAGGGCGCTCTCTTGCACGAGGAGCGACTTGCTTTCGCTCTTGTTCTTGCTCTTCAATGTTCTTCTCAGCTGAAATAACAGACGGGCTTAATAAATGCACAATATGCTAAAGAAAATACGAACAAATAAGTATGCCAAATGAAAGCAAGTATTAAAAGGGATATTAAGGCGAACCTCTCTCCTTTGCCGCCAGCCAAGATTGATATGAGGGAGAATTATGATACTGCCTCAGGGCCTCAGTGTATTGAGCTTTTTCCGATTCATATTCCTCCACAAACAATGATTTTTCATCTTCAGGTAATTCCCTCCACATTTGTCCGATGATTTTTCCAACTTCCCATAGTTTTGATTGTGGATTTGAATTCTTTACTTGTTCCCAGACCTTTCGGCTATATCGCATGTAGGGCATTAACGGCTTCTCAGGGGGTTTTGGAGGTTTCGGCACTCGGCTATCCGACTTACTACCGACTTTTACAGGAGGGAAGGACGTGTTTCCATGAGATGGCTGCATGACAAACGTCGACTTTGGATCCTAAAACAAATTAACAACGACTAAAGAATACCTGCGGTAACTTCATAAAAAAAGAACAAGTGAAAATTAGTGAACACGGAGAACAGAGCGAAGGGGTTGAGCGCGGAGTAGGGAAGAAAGCATTAAAAGATTTAATCAATTTTTGCAAATGCAATAAAATAGTATTATTAACATCAAATTTATTAAACTGAAATATCTTAAATTCAACGTTCTGGGGTCGCATTGCTTGTTTCGTATATCTATTATTAGAGGAAAAGCCTCACTTATCAATAGTTTTACAAA